GTGGACATCCTTGTTTTAATTCCTGATCTTAGGGGGAAAGCTCTCAGTTTTTCACCACTGAGTATAATGTCACTGTGGGTTTTTCATAGATGGCCTTCAGTATGTTGAGGTAAATTCCCTCTAAACCTACTTTGTTGAGGGTCTTTATCATGAAAGGATGCTGTGCTTTGTCAAATGCTTTTTCTGCATCTATTGAAATATGTTTTTTTATACTTTCTGTTGTTGTGATCTATCACATTAATTGATTTGAAAACATTGCAGCACCCTTGCATCCCAGGAAGAAATCCCACTTGACTGTGGTGAAATTTTTTTTATGTATTGTTGGATTTGGTTTGCTAATAGTTTGTTGAGGATTTTTGCATCTATGTTCATCAGAGATACTGGCCTGTAGTTCTCTTGTTTTGTAGCATCTTTATCTGGTTTTGGTATCAGGGTACAGCTGGCCTCATAAAATACATTTGAAAGCTTTCCTTCCTCTTCTATTTTTCAGAATAGTTTGAGAAGAATAGGTATTAACTCTTCTTTAAATGTTTGTAGAATTCACCTGTGAAGCCATCTGGTCCTAAACTTTTGTTGGAAGTTTTTTGGTTACAGAGTCATCTCCCATGCTGGTGATCAATCTTCAAATTGTTTATTTCTTCCTGATCTAGTTTGGAGAGGTTATATATTTCTTGGAATTTATCCATTTCTTCTAGGGTGTCCAACTTGTTAGCATATACTTCTTCATAATAATCTCATAACCCTTGCTATATCTGTGGTATTATTTCTGTTTCTGTTATTTTTGTTTCGGTTTCTGTTATTTCTCCTCTTTCTTTTCTAATTTTGTTTGAGTCTTCTCTCTGTCTCTGTCTCTCCCCCCCCCTTTTTTTTTTGGATGAGTATGGCTAAAGGTTTATCAATTTTGTTGATCTTTTCAAAGAGCCAGCTCCTGGTTTCCTTGAGTTCTTCTCTTGTTTTTTAGTTTCTTTTATTTATTTCTTCTCTTTATTACTTCCTTCCTTCTGGTTTTGGGTTTTGCTTGTTATTTTTCTAGCTTCTTTAGGTGTAAAGTTAGATTGTTTGAGATTTTTCTTGCTTCTTGAGGTTGGCTTGTACTGCTATAATCTTCCTTAGAACAGATTTTGCTACATCCCAAAGATTTTGGATCATTGTGTTTTCATTTCATTTATCTCCATGTATTTTTTGATTTCTTGGTTGACCCATTCATTGTTTAGTAGCATGTTATCTAACCTCTATGTATGTGTCTTCTTTCCAGATTTTTTCCTGTAGTTGGTTTCTAGTTTCATAGCATTGTAGTTGGAGTAGATGCACAAGATGACTTCAAACTTTCGAAATTTGTTGAGAATCATTTTGTGGCCTAACGTGATCTATTCTGGAGAATGTTCGATGTGTGCTTGAAAAGAATGCCTATTTCACTGTTTTAGGATGGAAAGTTCTGAGTATCTCTTAGATCCATCTGGTCCACTGTGTCATTCAAACACTGTTTTCTTGGTTTTATTCTTTGGATGATCTATCCATTGATTATGTGGGGTGTTAATGTTCCCTACTATTATTGTTTTACTATCAATTACTCTCTTTATGTATGTTAATAGCTGCTTTATGTGTTTGAGTGCTCCCATGTTGGATGCATAAATATTTACAATTGTTGTATCTTCTTGTTGGATTATTGTTCCCTTTATGATTATGTAGTGTCTTTGTTTCTTGTTACAGTCTTTGTTTTCAAGTCTACTTTGTCTGAACTAAGTGTAGCTACCCGGGTTTGCTTTTCACTTCCCTTTGCATGATAAATGCTTTTGCATCTCTTCACTTTCAATCTGCATATGTCTTTAGGTCTGAAATGAGTCTTTTATAGGCAGCATATAGATGGGTCTTGGTTTTTTATCCATTCTATGACCCTACGTCTTTTGATTGGAACATTTAGTCCATTTACATTCAAAGTAATTATTGACAGGTAAGTGACAAATATCAGTAAGTACATGTTTTATGGTTGTTTTTGTAGTTCTTCTCTGTTTCTTTCTTCTCTTACTCTTTTCTCTCCTGGTTTGCTGGCTTTCTTTAGTGATATACCTGGATTCCCCTCTCTATTTTTTGTATATATATTACTGGTTTTTGTTTTGTGGTTACTATTAGGTTGATATGTAACATCTTATACAAATAGCAGTTTATATTAACTTGTTGGTCGCTTAAGTTTGAACCCATTCTAAAAGCACTAAATTTTTATTCCTCTCCCTGTCACATTTTAAGTATATGGTGTCATACATATTTTATATCCTTTTATTTTGTGAATCTCTTGACTGATTTTTATAGACATACTTAATTTTACAGGTTTTTTGTGTCCTACTTTTCTTACTCCTGCTTATGGTCTTTCCTTTCCATTCACAGAGTCCCCATTAACATTTCATGTAAGGCTGATTTAGTGGTCATGAATTCCTCCAACTTTTGTCCGTCTGGCAAACTCTTTCTCTACCCTATTTCGTTCTATTCTGAATGATAGTTTTGTTGGATGGAGTATTCTTGGTTGCAGGTTTTTCTATTTCAGCACTTTGGATATATCATGCCACTCCCTTCTGGCCTGAAATGTTTCTGCTGAAAAATCAGCTAGTTATCTTACAGGGTATTTCTTGTATGTAACTACTTTTTTTTCTTGCTGCTTTAAAAAATTTTTAGCACTACTTTTTGCCATTTTAATTACCATGTGCCTTGGTGTGGACCTCCTTGGGTTTTGATTTTGATGGGGGAGCTTTGTGCCTCCTGAATCTGGATTTCTGTTTCCTTCTCTACATTTGGGAAGATTTCAGCTTTATTCCTTCAAATAAAATTTTCTCCGCCCCCCCACCCGTCTTCTCCTTCTTGAATCCTTATAATGCAAATGTTATTACACTTGATGGTGTGGTTGAGTTTCCTTAATCTATTTTCATTTTTTTTAAAATGAATTTTTTTCTCTCCTGTTCAGCTTGATTGCCTTCCATTACTCTATCCTCCAAGTCACTGATGTATTCTGCTTCCTCTCGGGTACTATTTTTTCCCCTCTAGTGAATTTTTAACTTCAGTTATTGAGTTCTTCATCTCTGATTGGTTCTTTTTTATGTTTTCTATCTCTTTGTTGAGTGTCTCACTGAGTCCTTCACTCTTTTCTCCATTCCAGTAAGTATGTTTATGACCATTACTTTAATTCTCTATCAGGCATATTGCTTATCTCTGTTTCATTTAGCTTCCTTGTGATTTTTGTCCTGTCCTTTCATTTGGGACACATTCTTCTGTCTCCTCATTTTGTCCAACTCTCTGTGTCTGTTATCTATGTGCTATGAAAGTCAGCTACATCTCTGGCTCTTGAAAGTCATGGACATATGAAGAGGTGGTCCTATAGTGCCCTGCAGTAGAATGCCCCCTGTTCACCAGACCCTGGCATTCAGGGGTGTCTCCTATGTGTGTTGTGTGTGCCCTATTGTTGTGGCTGAGTCGTATCTACCTTCAGTTTAGTTGTCTGCAAAGTTTCTCTGCCTGTTGTGGGCAGGGTTTGGTCCCTGTGTTGTTAGGGCCAGTCTGGGGTTACCATGGGCTTGATTTTGGTCAGCACAGAGGTTTGCCAGAGCTGTGATCACAATGAACTACAGGCATTCTCCCTGCGTTGACCCCTGGGAGGCTTTCATTGGTGGGTGAGGCCTACAGTCAGACCAGATATCTGCCCACTGCTGGGTTCACAGTTGAACTGATGTGTGTGTGATTATTTTTCCCTTTCCTTGGGGCAGGAGTCAGTTTGGAGTGGTGCTGGTACACGGGCTGCTTGCATAATGCCAGGTTTGTGACACTGCTTTACATGAACTCCTGCTAAGTGGGGTGGTTGGGAGAAGGCAGATCCAAAGGGGAACATGGGGATGGGGCACATTGTTAGCAAGCTAAGTGGAGAGTGTGTGTGTACTTTGCTGGTCCTTGTAGGTATCTGTTTATCTAGGCTGGGGTTGAGGGAGGAAAATGGCCCTGACAGCACTTTTGTTTTTGAAGAAATCTCCTAGCACATGTTCTGAGATTAGTAAACCTTCTCATACACTCATACTGCTGCTTCCATGATGTATCCCAGTGGGGCTGTTTGTTTGTTATGCTGTCTCTTTAAGGGTGGGGACTGATTCCTATTGCCCTCTGGCTCTCCTAGAGCCAAGCCGCTGATTTATAAAGTTCCAGGTGTTGAGTCTTGCTGATTGTAAGACTTGTGAGGTTAAGACCCTCTGGTTTTCAAAGCCAAATGTTAAGGGGATTCATCTTCCCAGTGCAGGTCCCCTGTGTCTGGGGTATCTGGTGTAGGGTCTGCTGCTTTCCTTTCTCCATGCTTGCGGTGTCCCTCCCATGGACAGTGTCATGGGTCAGTTTGATTCCTGACCTGTCTCCGCCCTTCCTACCATTTTTGATGTGGTCTCTTCCCTACATTTAGGTGTTGAGAGTGTGTTCTGCCAGTTTTCAGGTTGCTTTCTGGGTTATTTACACTGATGTGGGTGTTATCTAGGTGTAACCATGGGACAAGGTGAGCTTAGGATCTTCCCACTTGGCTATCTTTCCTGGAAGTTATTTCATTTAAATATTGATCTTCTGGTTGCACCCCTCTCTCTGGTTACCTGTCTATCACCAATAGCCTGAAAGCTCCAGAAAAGTATTTTTTTGGGGGGGGTGTTTTTTTTTTGAGGGGGGAGGTTGGGCAGAGGGAGAGGGAGAATCTCAAGCAGACTCCATGCTGAGTGTGGAGCCAGACGTGGTGCTTGATCTCAAGACCCTGAGATCATGACCTGAGCCGAAATCAAGAGTCAGATGCTTAACCGACTGAGTCACCCAGGTGCCCCAAGAACATTTTTTAAGACAATTTTTTTACTTTCTCTATTGACTAAAAGCATCAGTCTTCAAAACATGCCACTTTTGACCAGTAAGTGCAGATATTTATACTTAGATACAGGCCTGGCAGAAACAGAAGTTATCTGTGGCACAGGCAGAGCAGCAGAACAGATTTAAGCCCTTCAAGCAACTCAACTTTCCAACACCCACTTTGTATGTGTCCCACCTCCAAAAGGCTAGTACAGTTTGAAAATTCTGCATATTGTCAACATTTGCTTTATGTCTTAAAAAAAAAAAAATCACAAAATACACCTCTTTGGGGAACTTCCTCTTGAAGGTTTGGCTTTTGATACTCTGTCACACTTACTAGAACTGCACCCCATCTATACTCGAGGTGATTATATTCTGGAGTCAGACAGCATGAAGAGAACTTGACAAGCTCTGAAATAAGAAAACTCGGTGATTCTCCTTCAGAAATTTCTTCTACTTCTGCTCATTTTAAATCTCAGGGATATTGAAAATAGTTTATATCTTTCAAAGTGAAGCATTACATTGGCTTACCTTTTTCTTTGACAAAGTCCTTTTGTACCTCTGGGATCAGGAAACTATAAACTAACTCAGCAACAATCTCCTCTGACTGAAGCTGAGTTCGACTAAAAAATAAAAAAAAAAACCACAATTTCCTTTGTTGCCTTGAGCTGCTGATTTCTACTTAAGTTCTCCTTGCTTGTGTAAGGGACTCCACTGCTCAAATCCCACCACTGCCTTTTCCTTGATTAAGTTGTCTGAAATATTGTACTCCTGATGGGCTTGGTTAACTTCATGCAGATTCAGATTTGACCCTGTTCTTCAGTTAACCTGCCTGCCAGGAAGGGAATGTTAGAGATATAATTTATACAAGAAGCCAAAACCTTTGGGGTGGAGTAATATTGCACATAATTACTCACATTGCTTTCGTGCTTTGTGGTATTCTAAAAGTAATATGTTAGTGATCCAGACTGCAGAGGATAACTGAAAATTCTACTCCCAGCGCTCCTGCCTCACAAAGGTTTAGGCATGTTGACTTCTAAAGAGTTATGCAATTAAAACAATGGACACTGAAGCAGGAGATATATACTTGTTTCTCCTTGGTGGTAAAATCTAAAGCTCTTGGAAAATACATATGAGTAACAGCAAATGGGCTGTCCATTCTGCCGTCTGCTCTCTTGTACCAACCGAATCTCCATTTCATAAGCAATGTCATTGATTTCCTCAGCCATCTTCTCAATTTCTGCCCTGGCTTGTTCTTCTGCCGTGCTCTCTTCGGTATTCAGTATTATGTCTTCCAGATAGGAAGTTACAGTGCTTTGGTGAACTTTAATCACCTGCAAAAAATAAAAATACCCCTGTTACTGAGAACAGGAATACTACTGTAAACAAGACCAAAAAAATGAACAAACATTGGCTGACCTATTTCTTTCATTAAGTCAATAGTCCCCTCATTAATCATTCCTTTTTTTTTTTTTTTTTCCTGTCTGGTCAGTTTCTAGCCCACCTACCTACCCATTCTGGGCAGCCCCCATCCATCTAGCCCATTTTAGAATTATGGGTCTTACTTAGGGTGGGCAATACAACGCTGCAGAAAGATCATGGGCTTCAGGCAATAACCCTATTTTGGATCCTGGCTTTGTTCTTTCCAGCAATGTGACTTGGTCAAACGACCCAACTGTGGCAGAAACTAAGAGGTATTTCCCAATGTCCTTTCTCTCCTTCCTCTTTGTAACAGAGCCCCTGAGTTTTAGCTGCGCCAACACATGTCTAGAATAAAGATTACATTTCCTAGTAACCATAGTTCTGGTTGAGGGAGTACAGGCAGTCATCTGTGCACTTTCTAGAAAGGATTCTTTTTTTTTTTTTTTTAGAGAGAGAGCACAACCAGGTGGGGGAGAGAGATAATCTTAAGCAGGCTCCACCCCAGCGTGTAGCCCGAGGCGGGGCTCAATCTCACAACCCTGAGATATGACCTGAGCTGAAATCAAGAGTTGGACACTTAACCAACTGAGCCACTCACACGCACCTAGAAAGGATTCTTAAAGGGAGAAACCTAGCTTATTTTTTTTTTCTCTTTTCACTTCTCATTTCATGGGGACATAATGCTGGAGCACCAGAAGTCATCTTAAACTGCCATGAGGACCATGCCTCAAGGACAGAAAAGTGGAAAGCTAGAAGGATCCTGGGTCTCTGATGAATTTTTGAACTATCATACGCTGGACTGCTGCTTTTTTAAGCTTTCTGAAATTGTGAACTAGAACACACATTTTCAAAAGTGCACAGTGAGAGATGTACTGTGCACTGAATTAGGGGAAAGCCGGTACCCATGCCCCCCCTGCTAGAATTCTAGAAGGCCGCTATGGGTTCTTCCTGACCACAGATCCTTTCTACTGTCATGATTTTATGGTAAACATTCCCTTTTCTTTACAGTTTTCCTAAGTATGCAATCATAAATAGCTAGAATATGGATTATAGACTGTTACACATTGTAGATGATCTGCCACTGACCACATGTAACTCAAAAATTCTTAAGCTGTGTAGAGGGAGAGCAATCTGTTTGGTTTAAAAAAAAAACTTGAAACACACACACAACAAATACTATTCATGAATCAATCCTAATTCCATAAGAATTGGGTAAATCCTGAAAATCTCAGATCAAGTAAGAAGATCTCAAATGGACACTTTTTTTTTTTTTTTAAACTGAGTATCCGCACATACAATTCAGACAGCCCTCTTCGACAGGAAATTTTTTAAGGTCCAGGTTGGTTCTCTCTCTCTTTCCCATGTGGCCCACATCTGGTCCAGGGGAGACCCCCACACAGCCTTCGCCTTGACATACTCTGGGTGTGCTAGCCACCCATACGACCTCATGTGTGCCCACCTCCAAAGCAGCCAGCTGGCCCAGCTCCCCTCCTCTCCATTCTTAGGGGGTCAGACACCCTAAATGAAAGAATACATATCAAGCTCGCAATGACTACAGGAAAAGAAACCAACCTCTGGGTGTGTTTTGGTGTGTGTGTGTGTGTTGGGGAGTAGGATGGGTAGTCATAGCACAGTTCGCTTTAAAGAAATCTTCTTCATAAATCCCCTCCAATTTTAACGCTTGAGCTCTTCTATTCTTGATGAGGGTGAGTACTTTGAGATATTACTAGCTCCTTGAACTTCCTCTGAATTTACATCTTGCTCACTTTGCAATTTCATACCCATTATATCTTGGTCAGAATTCCAATTTACCAACCTGGTGCTCTAGTTTATATCTTTAGCCAAAACCTCTCTTCTAAATTCCATCTTGTTGATCCACCTGCTGAAATGACACCTCCACTAGAATGTCTCGAACCTAATAAAAATCAAATTCCTGATTCCACCCCTGCCCCTAAATTAATTCCATGCTCCGCTTTCCCACATCAAAAAACAGTACTATCATCTCCCCAGTTGCTTAAGCCAGAAACTGGACATCTTCCTTGACTTCTTCCTGTTTCTCATTGGCCTTAACCACTTCCACAGCCTCTTTCCTGATCTCCTTGTTTCCACTCTGTCCTCCTTCCAACCTATTCTCCACACAGCAAGCAGGGTAACCTGTTTAAAATGTGTCACTGGGCCCCACCTGTTTGCTTCAGGAAACTTACTATATTTTCTAATTCTACACATATTTGCATGTTAGACAGTAATTAAGCTCCAGGAGAAAAGGGACCATGTCTGGTTTCTCCCCTCCGAAGTATCCCACAGTGCCTAGCATATCGTAAGAACTCAATACATATTTGTAGAACACAATGAAAAACAAAAAACAAGTGCCATTTCATATCATGAGTTTCCTCTGGTTTGATTTGGCTCCTTACAAGTAGCTTCCAGACATCCAGCTGCACCCCCACTTGCCTCCTTAAATATCTGGTCCTCCTCCCGCAGGCGCCTTTGCTCGACTTGGCGCCGACCACTCTCTTCAGCTTCTCGCATCCTCCGCTGCCGCTCGGCCAGCATGGCAAAAGCATGGATCCTCCTCTCTTCCTGCAGTCTCACAAGCTCTTTAGACAGGAAGTCAAACATGTCCGCCAGCACCCTTCCTTCCAGTCCAGCCAAGTGGTTTTCAACCACTGAGACCTTAAAAATAATAGTAAATTTTCAAGGATACAAATTCTGCTAAGCATGGGGATGTATAAGGAGGGATGCTGGATTACCCAGAGCTGGTGACAGTCACTTCACTTTCAGAATGCACTTAGTGTTTATTAGGAATATTATCACTAGGTTGGCGTCATCCCAAGGGCTCTTACTAAGAAAACTTATGATACAAACTTAGACATGAGAAAGTGGATTGCTCAGTCAGTCACTGACAGATTACAGCCCTCAAATTATGAGGGGGATTTAGCAAAACATTTGTTAATACCCACACAAATTGATTTTCTTCTTTCATTTTTATCCAGAAGGTACTTCTATCTTCCCAGACATGAAGGGAAATGTCAAGGTTTTTATTAAAAAATTTTTCTGGAGTTCAATAAAAAAGAGTCTTCTAGAAATTCACTCATGACACCTTTTAATTTTTTAATCCTTGGTCCTTTGACACGAGTTTGGGGAATTATAAGATCTTGAATAGCATGAAAGTAGAAAACTGTGGTACTATATTCTTTTAAATAACTTCAAAGTCATTAAGAACTATCTTTGAAACAGAGCAGGAAAAAGCCTACAGGTCTATGTAATCATTGAGGTAAAGTCGGGGCCTGGAGTTCTCTGGCAGGAATAAGCCACAGTATCTATTTATGGATCCGTCTGTCCTGGCTTTGACACATGGAGAATAAAAGTGTTTAAGAAGACTGAATCCTTTGCAACTTCATCTTGTTCCTTTTCCTATCCTTAGGTCTAAGGGAAAGGGCCCTTCTCCCAGTCATATGCTCCCTCAGCCTTGACAGTTCTTGCTATGCTGGGTTCTTCTCTGGTTTGCATCCAAAGGGAGGAAACCCACATAGGTCTCAAAGGTGGTGAGGCTACCATGTGAGACTGTCATTCAAGCGTGGACGTTAGCCCCAACACCCTCCCTCACCTCCTCCCAGCCCACACATACTTCCTAACCACAAAGTTCAGCTTTACTTATATGATAGGGGGAGGTGGAAAGAAAGGGCCACACTAAGAGTGCCTCACATTTATAAACAGTGGTCATTCAGCCCAGAGACCACAAACGGATTCTCTCCTTGTCTCAGGATTACAAGCTCCCTCAGCTGGGGGGGCAGATGCAACCTTTAAAATCCCAAGATGGCTACCTGTTCACATGCAGCCTCCTCCCTCAGCAAGAAATTTGAGTATGCTAAGGTAGTGTAATCTAATTTGAAAATTAAGTAAAAATATTTAGGAAGGTGATTTTTCTGTGATCATATCATGCAGTGCATTACATAATTGGGAACTGTGCATTTTCTGTACTTTTCCCCATAGAAAATAGGAGGAAAGGAGATAGAAGTGAGGTGCCCCCTCCCTCAGACTCCTGCATATCATTGGTGTATCTAGGTACAGTGGAAGGTAAGCAGGGCGAGTCCTTTGTTAAGTGACAGCTCTCTTTCCATTAACGCCTCCTTTAGCTCTTAGCTCGCATGATATCCTACTAACTGGGACAGATGGGTAAAAAGCCTGGACTGGCTTAGGTGCACCTGCCAATAAAGTCTATAATCAGAAATTTCGAAGGGCCAAGAAGGGCATTTTTCTATCCTGGTGCTTCCAGGGCATTCTGCTCACATCTGAACAGAAGCACAGCCCTGTCTCTATCATTTCCAGGACCCTCAGACATCCAGATTCGGAGACTCTGGTGTCACATTCCGTTCTTTCTCTGTCCCTCCGTTGGGTCTCACAGCCTGTGGCTTTCTTCTTCCCTCCCCTACACCATCAACCCCAACTCAGAGACCATCCACAAGCCTGGTGTCACGTAAAAGGAATAACGTGCTCATTTTCAAGCTGCTTACCCTTTGTGCCCAGTCCCCCATGGCACAAGCGTTATGTGCATTACTAAGGGTGGGTTATATTAACTTCACTATTAGCTTTCTTATAACACTAAACTCTCTGTAAATTGATTCTTTTTCATGTTGATTTACAGGTAAGTGGGAGAGATAATAAAAGCATGTCTACTCTGTAGTCAGCACCATTAAAAACTGTATACGTGGACAAATGGCAGAAGAAAATAGGAAAACATCTACAATTGTTGGGGTAAAGAGGCAATTAGCAGCTGTGGTCAGGTGACATTGATGAAAGTCAGAGAATACCATGAGATATCAACATATTTAATATGCAGTTTAACCAGCTCCAAAACTCATAAACAAGTGCCAATATTTTGAAATAAATCTTGTGTCTCTTCTTTTTTGCTTTTATTACTTTTCATTCTGCTGAGCTCCCACTAAAATACAGTAGAATCACCAAATATTTAAGAAAATTGGAAGGAAAAACCTTTTTAAAATGTGGTGTTTCTTTTTTCCTTTTTTTTTTTTCTTGCAAATAAAATAAGACCATATTCAGTTCAGCGAGGGCACACCCCATTCCAATTCTGGACTGAGGCAGCACTGTTTAAAAACGTCGGCTGGGACAGAGTGATGGGCCTGGGGGTATGTTTCTTTTTTGTCATTTCATTTACTGTTGTGATACTGCCACTTGTGCAAGAATAAAGATCCGGGGGGACAACACAAGGAGAAAGAACAGGAAAGAACCTTGTGCTCGTGCAAGTTCCTCTGCCGCTGTAAGGCCAGTGTCACCTGCTTCTCGGCTTTCTTCAGCAGCCTGTCGTCCTCTTGCAGTGCGTGGCTGGTGCGCAGCTCCTGGATCAACTCCAGTCGCTTCTCCTTCCCTTCAAACATCTGTATCAAATCAAATCAGAAAGAGACTTGCGAGTTGGCATCCCCTGTGCGCGGCACTAGGACTCATGCAGTGACTGGTGAGGCACTTGCGAACAGGGGGCTCGGACCTGCCTTCCCGCCCGAGCAGGGATGCTCCCCAGAGCTGAGAGTTCTCCTGCTGCTCAGGTCGAGAAAGAGCTTACTTAGCAGTTGTTTACTCGATTTCTCAAAATGCCTCTCCAAGACAAAGCGGTTACTATAGGGTCATATTAAGAAACTAGACCCTCCCCTTCATTTTCTGTGCTCCTTCCCTAAGACGCCCGAGGATGGTATTTTTCATAGCCATGCTTTCTTTACCAAGAGATCTGCCCCTGGTTTGTAATACGTAATGTGTTGTGACATTTTTCCTGGGGAAATAAGGAGAGTAGAGAATAATGCTGAACACAAGATGCTCACCCAGCTTCCCTGGACATACTAATTATAACTGAGTCTCTTATGAGTTACAGCTGTATGAGGAGAAAAAAATTTTTTTTTGCTGATGCTTTGTAATCAGTCCATTTTAAAATTGAAGTGTGCTTGCACAAATAATGTGGCAAAGGCTTTACAGTCAGGAAGACCAGAGTTGAATTTGCTACCAGGTAATATAATCTCAGACTCACACCGCTTGCCTATAAAATAGGATAACTGATAGAAAAAAATGAGATGATCTATGTGAAGCAAAGAATATATAATGTGAGCTTATAGTATGGGTTCAAAACTCTAGTTAGTATTACTTAGCTATTTATTATTCAGGTATTGCTAGCTATATACAAACTCAAATAATTATGACTTTGTGGAAAGTTAGGGAATCCACTTGGTCTGTGATGCCTTAATAGTCAAAATTCAGAAGCACGTGGCTGGCTCGGTCAGTAGAGCACACAACTCTTGATCTCGGGCAGTCATGAGTTCAAGCCCCATGTTGGGTGTAGAGATTACTTAAATAAATGAACTTTTTAAAATAAGTCCAAGTTCAGGTAAGAAAATTGGTGGATTTAGTGATTCTAAGGAAGATATTAATTTCACTTTGCCTCGGTTACAACTGTGACAAACAGCAGGCAGGTCCTTTCTCTCCTTGACACTGCCACCCACTTGGGCAAACTATGACAGTAGAAGGAAATGGGTAGGTAATTTAAGAGTATATAGTTCCAGGGGCACCTGGGTGGCTCAGTCATTGAGCGTCTGCCTTCAGCTCGAGTCATGATCCCAGGGTCCTGGGATTGAGCCCCGCATCAGGCTCCCTGCTCGGTGGGAAGCCTGCTTCTCCCTCTCCCACTCCCCCTGCTTGTGTTCCCTCTCTTGCTGTGTCTCTCTCTGTCAAATAAACAAAATCTTTAAAAAAAAAAAAAGAGTATATAGTTCCATCAGACAGCAGGGTGCAAGAGGGAATTCACCCCAAGGAACCGAGTACATATGCATTCTATAAATCTATTCTCAAAGGAGAAGCACAGGACCAGTGGTTGGACCCTACGCACCGTGTTCTGAACGACTCTTCCCCGGAGTAACTTTTGAAGGTAGATCACAGCCATCTCTATATCTTCTTCTTCCTAAAAGAACAAAGTAAGAACCAAGCAGCTTGAGAAAAGCAACGGTCAGCATCAAATTTTTTTTGAAAACTTAGATCAAGCAAAAGACACTGTGCTAGATGCCAGAAAGATTTAAAGAGAAATAAATAAGGCCTACACTCTCATTGAACATACAGTATCTTAAATGTTACTTACTGTATTGTTAAAATTATTTTTTATCATAAGACATCATTAAAAAAATCATATCAAAAGCAAAAAATTCATTCTAATCTCTATACTCCTTTCTAGTAAAATCTTTCTTGAAGCAACAAGTATTGCTTATAACATCCATTTTGCAATAGTTTTTTCGTGTTTAATCGCGAGTAGACAAGGAATACAGCTAGTCTGTGTCAGAGTCTAGAGTAAGGTGCTTCTCACAAGAATTTAGATAAGATGGTAAAATCAGAATGGACAAGACTAACCATCTACAAAAATCACCTTAAGTAACTATGTGTCAAAAGCAGAAAGCAGAGCCTGCAAATCAACTTAAAGTGGCTCTGAATGCAAAAGAAAGCAACAGAAATCAATAGCATAAACACATCCAAGACAATGTGTTAACCACAGGGAGTGACTGGGACAAAGTCTAGAAAGGGGGATGTCCAGAAGCACATACTGGCCAGTCAGTGGGAGTACTGGAGCAATGTCTCCGCACAGGTGACCCTTCAGGAGCGCTAATGAGATCTCCTGTTAACATCCCTCCCTCTGATAAAGCACATTCTCAGTAGGATCTGGCGTCTTGTGAGAACTGCCCTATACTGGGAGACAGTGGGCTGAGGAGAAGGGCTGCTAAGAAGAATATCCTCATCTACCAAGCAGGCAGTTATCCTTCTGTCAAGCAGTACATCTGTACTGTGGCATCTTTAGCAGTTTCTTGGGGAGGGGGTTGCTGTCTAGTCCAAGTCTGTCCTTAATCCTGACTGACTCTGGTACCCTGCCCAAACTGAGTCTGGAGATCTATGAAGGTGAGGTATGACCCTGGTCAGGGTGAACTCTTTGAGCCAGTCTATCTCAGAAGCCAGACTGTCCTCATGACATCTCTGGCACTTCACTCCTCTCTCACACCAGCTGTCATAGCCACCTCCCCATGTGGTAAGATGGTTATGGTAACTGATCATCATTCGACCTTTTTTTATTTGACATGCATGAGGATTACCTTCTGATGCCTATTTTTCTTAGGAAGATTTCATTTTGCTTATTTGTGTGTGTCTGATGTTGAAGCATAAGAAGAAATGCCATGTAAGTCAGATCTTGAAAAGATAACCCTGTTAAATTAGATTTGTTTTTAACCCAAAGTATAAGAATAAACAGATAGCAATACTGGATTTAGCATTTCAAATAAAGTTTCAAACTTACACTGGAACTCATTTCCAAGGTTGGAGTTGGAAGCCGAGGTTGAGGTAGAGCCTTTCTTTGAAGAAAGCGCAGAACTTTCTTTGGTTCAAGAACTCTATTCTTCTTATCCAATATTGCCTGGAATAACACCAACTAGTGTCATTTACCTCCTTTGTATTTTCTTCCACTACTCGATCTAGGCCACAGATCGAATATCGATCAGAAATAATCTTCACGGAGCGCCTGGGTGGCTCAGTCTGTTAAGCCGCTGCCTTCGGCTCAGGTCATGATCCCGGGATCCTGGGATTAAGCCCCGCATCAGGCTCCCTGCTCAGCGGGGAGCCTGCTTCTCCCTCTCCCTCTGCCTGCCTCTCTGCCTACTTGTTCTCGCTCTCTCTCTGTCAAATAAATGAATAAAATCTTCAAAAAAAAAAAAAAAAGAATCTTCACTATGGCTATGCTAGGACAGTTTGAGAAAGGCCAAAACTGGGTGCCTGTATGACCCAAGGGATGGTATGATATTCCCTAAACATCAGCTAACATTGAATAAACCGGGTACATATTCTAGGTTTATCCATCTTAATCAAAGATTCGGAGGATTTAAAAAAGATTTTTTTTTGAGATTTTAAAAGGTTTTGTTGCGTGTATGCAAGCAAAACCCCCAACTCCTATTCCTCCACAAGAGCCAATTAGCTGTTTAAAATAAGTGCCTGGGCAATAGAAAATTTCCCTGTGCCACAAATGATGGAAATATTGGTATGGAACTGAGGAACATTAAATGGCAATTGTCTCCTAGTGAAGAAAGAGTTTTCCTTTGACTGTGAAGGCCTGCACCTCACGTTTTCTGAAAATGAACTTGTTTCCTTGTGAAAGAGTGTGTGTGTGTGTGTTTTGATTTCAACATACATTTTTATTGATTTTACTTTTGATCACCAAAAGTCCCCCAAATTATATATGACATAAGGTTTTGTTCATTGGTTCTATTTTCATCCATAGGGAGATACTTTTAACTTAAAAATATCAAAAAGTCTGATCTCTGTCATTTAAAGATCATACTTTAGAATTATGTTTTTCATCATATAATTTTTACATTAGTTTTCCCACAGACAACAGAGAGAAGTGATAAAATAAGCACTAAGCCAAAACTTGAAATTAATAAAAATAGGCAAGTGGAGTAAAATTTGAAACCACAAGAAATTATTGTGGTTTTAACAGAACCCCTGAGTTTCTACAAAATAAAACTGACACTAAATACATAACAGCTCTAATATAGACCAGCTCTACAATAACCACAGCTACTGAATCACCAGAAAGCAGCAGCAGTCTAAAAACTAGTAATTCTAAACTCTGGCATCTCTTGAGTGCGTTGCCCTGAAGAGCACCACATGAAACCATTTTAAGACCAATCATTCATAATATGTTGGTAAGGATCTGGGAAAACAGGCACTCTCACACATTCAGCAATTAGTACATCACTTATGTAAGAAAATTTGTCAGTAGCCATCAAAACTATAAATGCAGGTATATTGTGGACCAGCAATTCATGTCTAGGAATCTTCTTCTAGATATGTTCATACATGTACCAAATTATATGGAAACAAGATTACTCAATGCAGCATTATTTTTGATGCAAAAAAGTTGGGACAATACAAATATCCATCAAGAGGGAACTGGGTAGATGTGGTACATTTATATGATGACATATCGTGCAAAAAAAATGATGTAACACAATTATGGGATAATCTCCAAGATATATTAAATAATAAAAGCACAATAATAATAAAAATACAGAACAGTGTGTATTATATATTAACATTTGGGTAAAAAAGTTTAAGAAGATACTTACAGGTATTTGTATTTTTTTATATATTTCTAAATATACACATACACATGTGCATATCTCTACACATAGAGAGATATATAGATACAAATATATTTGCTTGTATAGAGAGATATATAGATACAAATATATTTGCTTGTAAGATATCTCTGGAAGGAAAGATCTGAAACTAAAAAACACTGGTTTCCTCCAAAGAAGGAACTGCATAGCTGGGAGACAGGGAGAGAAGGTTTACATTTAATACTCTTGTATAATTCATGAATTTTGAACAATGTGGATATTTTTCCCAGTCACTAAATACATTCTAAATATAAAAGAAAGAAACAAATAATTTAAATTTTGAAAAAAAGCAATTGGATTTTCACAGTTAAAAGAAAAATGTTTGGTCAAGAAGTCCAATGCAATTTATAAAACCAACAAATAAAAATATTTGAGAATTCCTTCAATCTGTCTTATTGTCTTGAAAGGTAAAGCTCTCAGAGAGAGAGGCAGGGGGGCGGGGGGGAGGCGGGAATATGAGAATACCAAGGAAATGCTGTTACCAAACAATACATTTTAACATGCTTAAAAGACAAACAGGTTAGGCAACTGAGTTCAATCCATGGTTTTCATAAACAGAAGAAAGAACTCATTGGTACACTCTTTTAATCTGCTTTAGGACATAAGCAATTTAATAATTTTTCAAAAATATATTCCAACCTAAATTATACCAAGAATAGCATGAAAATACTGTACTGTGGAAATTATTTTATACTATTCTAGATATTTCTCCTCCATGATTACTATGACATAGCTCATACAGTATTTTTTAAGCCTTATATCACCTGTATCTTCATATTTCTATGAGTCTGGATTCTCAAAATAATGTAACCATAAGACTAAGCAGATACATTGTCTGGACGTAAACCTAATGTTTAGTAACTCTCTTTAATTCAAACCAATATTCCAAACTGACAGACTCCATATAATGGCATCTCATCCCAAAGCCAAGAGGACAGATAAAAACAAGGACAATAAAAGAATGTGAATCCTCTGACAATATCAGCTACAACAAACATTAAGCATAGCCCAACATCTAGCCAGATCAATATAAATCCCACACTATAGCCTATTTACCTCAGTTCCTATTGCTTGATAATAGATGTCAGGCTATCAACAAAAAAAGCTAAAAGGCATTCCAAACGCAAGGAAAAAAAACAAAAAACAAAAACCACAGTCTAAAGAGAGAAGTAACCATCAAAACCAGAGTCAGATATGACATAAATGTTGGAATTATCAGACAGAAAATTTAAAACAACAATGATTAATATGTTAAGGGCTCTAATGGAAAAGGGAGATGACATGCAAGAACAGATGAGTAATGTAAGCAGAGATAGAACTCAAAGAATCAAAAGGAAAGGCTAGAAGTCAAAACACTATAACACTATAACAGAAATGAAGAATGCTGTCAATGGGCTCATTGGTAGACTCAACACAGATAAAGAAAGAATCCAGGAACTTGAAGATATGTCAATAAAAACTTCCCAAACTGAAATGCAAAGAGAAACAAAGAAATAGAACAAAACATCCAAGAACTGTGAGACAATATCAAAAGGAGTAATATGTGTAACTGGAATACCAACCAGATGGAGAAGAAAGAGAGAATGCAGAATAAATATTTGAAATAATAATGGCTGGAAACTTTCCTAAAGTACTGACAAACACCAACCCACAGATCCAGAAAGCTTAGAGAACACCAAGCAAGACCTTAAAAAACAACAAAACAAAACAAAACACACAAACAAAAACACCTCAGGCATATAATATTTAGAGAAAACCAAACACAGAGAAGTTTGAAAGAAGCCAGAGAGAAAACACATCTTAGCTACTGAGGAACAAAGATAAAATTTACAGTGGAATTCTAGTCAGAAACCATCCATGTGGGATGTCTGACTGCCCCAGTCAGTTAAGCCTCTGCCTTTGGCTCAGGTCTTGATCTCAGAGTCCTGGAATCAAGCCCCACATCAGGCTCCCTGCTCAGTGCGGAGTCTGCTTCTCCCTCTCCCTCCCTCTCTGCCTCTCTCCCTGCTCATTCTCTCTATCTCTCAAATAAATAAAATCTTAAAAGAAAGCATCCATGCAGAGTAGAGTGAAATCTGAAGTGTTGAAAAAAACCCCGACCAACCTAGAATTCTACACACAATAAAAACATTATTCAAAACTGAAAAGATCACAATCTTAAACTTACATGTTTCATAGGATACTATCAAAGTAAAAAGACATCCCACAGAATGGGAGGAAAATCTGCAAATCATATATCTGACAACGGTATAGTCCTCAGAATATATACAGAACTCTTACAACTCAACAATAAATAGACATTAAAAGTAATGTCTATAATAAACAATAAAGACAACCCAATTGGGGTGCCTGGGTGGCTCAGTCGTTAAGCATCTGTCTTCAGCTCAGGCCATGATCCCAGGGTCCTGGGATCAAGCCCCACATTGGGCTCCCTGCTCCGTGGGAAGCCTGCTTCTCCCTCTCCCACTCCCCCTGCTCGTGTTCCCTCTCTCGCTGTGTCTCTCTCTGTCAAATAAATAAATAAAATCTTAAAAAAAAAAAAAACAAAAACGACAACCCAATTAAAAAATAAGCAAAGGATCTGAATAGACATTTCTCCAAAAAAGATATACAAATGACCTGGCGTGCCTGGGTGGCTCAGTCGGTTAAGCATCTGTCTCCGGCTCAGGTCATGATCTCAGGGTCCTGGGATCAAGCCCTGCATCGGGAAGCCTGCTTCTCCCTCTCCCTCTGTCCCTTCCCCTGCCTCATGCTCACTCTCTCTCTCATGTTGTCTCTCTCAAATAAATAAAATCTTAAGAAAAAAAAAGATATACAAATGACCAGAAGGCACATGAAAAAGATTAATCATTAAACTCATTAATCATTAGACAAATGCAAATCTAAACCATAATGAGATACCACCCAGGTATCTCACTGGGTGATCTAGGATGGCTATAATAAAAAAGATGGGCAGTAATAAGTGATGGCAAAAATATGGAGAAATTAGAATCCTCAAACATTCCTGGTGGGAATGTAAAACAGTGTAGACACTTTTGAAACAGTCTAGCAGTTCCTCAAAAAGTAAAACCATTACCTGGTTTTCCATTCCATTCCATTCCATTCCTAAGTATAGAGTCAAGAGAACTGAAAAACTTATGTCCACACAAAAATCTGTACACAAATGTGCATAGCAGCATGATTTATAATAGATAAAAAGTAGAAACAACTCAAATTTCTACCAACTGTATCAACTGAT